GATGGTAAATCAGGTGCGATCCGCTTGAGCCTGCTCTTCAAGCCTACCTATGTGGTCCGCGCCCGTCAAGGCTCCTCCACCTTCTCCGGCACCTTCGCCGTCCCCGGTAAGATCGTCGGCGCTCCCGTCAAGGGCGTGGGCTTCGTTGGTGGCAATGTCATCCGCGGCGCTTCCTTCTTGAAGCACGGCCTCATGTCGCGCATCCACAAAGACAAAGGCGAAGATACCGCCTCCATCATGAGCAACATCGAGGAACCTGAACCCGTCCGGGGCGACCGTCTCACCCCAGCCGCCTCCCTTGTCGATGGCCCTAACGGTACCGGTGCCTCTTCTCCCAGCACCCCGCTGAAGGAACACAGCCGCAATCGCAGCACCGCCTCGCAGTTCGGCGACCGCCTTAGCGTCTTCGGTGGTGGCGGTTCTGGCGAGAAGGGTTCGGCTAACATCACTGTTGTCTCCGCTGCCAATTTCCCTACTGATACCAACCTCCGTGTCATCATTCGTGCTCAGGGTTCCAAGGGCGCCAAGGAAATTCACAAGACCAAGGCGCACAAGAACTCCTCTGGCACTGTCACCTACGATGACTCCTTCCGCGTCCCCAACACCACCGCTGACGCCCAGTACCAGGTCCGCGTAGTGGACCACGCCACCTTTGGTTCGGATGATGTCCTCGGCGAAGCGCCGTTCTTCGTTGATGACCAGGGTTCCGTGGCTGGACAGGATAAGACTATTACTGTTGGCGATGGTGTGGTTACTATTCGTTCCAGCTTTGTGCTGTCGGATGGTGGTCTGAGGCCTACTACATCGCACTCGACAGCCGGTGGCCCTGATGCCTCTGAGGGCGCGGGCAGTCCCGATTCACGAAAGATGCCCCGTCGCAGCTTCTTAAGTAAGAGATCTGTCAGCGGTGTTTAAATGCGTTATCTTTTGGAATTGCTTTGCCTGTTTCGGCTGAAGAGTATATGAAAATATTGAAATGCTTTCATGTTATTAATTGGTTTTCTTTTCTTTTTTTCTTTGTGATATCCTTTTTTCTCTTTTTTTTTTCCCCTCCCCTATCCAATCTGAATTGAATTGTTCTGATGGTCGGAATTGAGACATATCCTCCGTAGAGTGGATGAATGAAAAATAGCCGGGTAAAAATAGTCATCATTAGTTCGCGCCACCAAAAAAAAAAAAAAAAACCTGAAAACCGAGTCTAAGACCTGATGTCTCAGTTATCGTTATACTTCGAGTATATGGCATTTTATACGGAATACTCCGTATGGCCTTATTCAATATTCTCGGTTAAATTAAAATTTGCCTCTTTTTTTTCCCTGTAACTTTGCACAGCCCTGATTTGCGTGCTTAGGCCTCTTAACCTGTTAAGAAGGTTCTATATGTGTATGGAATATCAGAGTGTAGAGTAAAAAGTATAGAGAACAGGGTACTCAGTCCAGCCCTAGAGAGTAACAGTAGATAAGTAAACTAAAAGATGTCACAATTATTTTTAGATCAAACAGATTTATATTAACCTCATTTTAGAAAGCGTGGAGTCATAATTTTGCTTGTTCCACTTTGGACCGGAAGTTGATCAACAATTCTAGAAGAATTATAATCAATTAAAGAAACATTCTACCTGTATATTTAGTAAATAGTAGTACATCGTAGTATCGTAGTACATCGTAGTACTTACTATGTAGTTCTATTGTATATTTTGAAGTCAGGTGAACCAACTTATTCTAAACGTCTAATAGCACGACATGTAGGAGATTTGGATGAAACAAGGAAAAAAAAAGGAGGGAGAGCTTGTATTTTTGGTGGGTCTTTGGTGGAGTGGGAAAGGGGGTCTGGACGTGTGTACTCCGTTAGGGGTCTTTAGGGTATGTGTTGTACATATATGTTGTAGGGTAGTCTATAATATGTTTACGGATATTAGACTTAAATAGAAATATGTACAATATGTAGATAAATCCCGAGATATCTGTAAGTGGCTGGGAGAGAGCTGACGACATCGGGATGCAAGGAGATCAAACGGAAATGGAATAGACAGGGACTATATGATAGAAAAGAAAACGTGAACGGACATATAGAGTACATGATAGTATAATTAGGATATAATAATAGATATATATAAATATAATTAGTATATAATGTCTTATAAAGTGGTTAAATACATACATTTATAAGTACTTAAATAAAATAATCACGGGGTTTTTCCTCTCCCCCACCTCCCTTTTTTCTCTCTCTCTTTCTTTTATATCTCTCTGTGAATCTTCTCTTCCCCCTCATTACCTTTAGGAATTTATTACCTTCAGGAATTGATCTGTAAGTTGTGACCCGATGACGGCAGCTTGACATCTGCCCAATTGATCGCCAAAGTGGCAAACCCCTCCTTTTTCTGGATAGCTGTTTGAGCTTCTGTGAACACGTTTCCCTCTCTTTGCCTCTCTCTTTGAATCTTTATCACTGACCTCATATCCTTTTAAATAGACAACTGTCCCCCTCCCTCCAAATTCTATCCATATCTCATACCCCATAACTCATAATGGCCTCCAAGGCTCTTCCCACTCACCTTCGGGCCCCTGCTGAGAGCGAGGCCTTTGGTGGAAAGCACCATGGCAAGTCTCAGTCACACATGGTAAGTTGTGGTGAATTCTAGATGATCTAAATCTTCAAGCGTCGTTCTTCCCGGTTGGGTCGTTCCTGCTGTTTTTTGGGCATTTGTTGATTTAACTTTCCTGAACTTCGTGTTCGGAAACTTGATTCTCTTTTCTTTCCCTGTGATCCCTCCATATGTCTAGCCACATCGTATTCTGGGAGCTACTATTTCAATTGGTCTATTCTTTTCCTTACAATGGCTACCTTGGCTCCTCCTTCCTTTGGCCCAGAGCTAACCCGTGAAACCTCCCACCAGGCATTCGAAAATGCATCCACTAGCGTGGCCGCCTCACAAATGCGCAACGCCCTGAACGCCCTCGGCGACAGCGTCACCGACCCCAAGGAGAAGCAGCGTTTCGAGGCCGAGATGGACAACTTCTTTGCTCTGTTCCGCCGTTTCCTGAATGACAAGGCCAAGGGCAATGCCGTTAACTGGGATAAAATCGCCCCTCCCCAGCCTTCCCAGGTTGTTGGTTACGATGACCTCGGTGCTGATGCCTCCGTCGAGTTCCTGAACAAGCTGGCCGTTGTCAAACTGAACGGTGGTCTCGGTACCTCGATGGGTTGCGTCGGTCCCAAGTCTGTCATTGAGGTCCGTGAGGGCATGTCCTTCCTCGATCTCTCCGTGCGCCAGATTGAGCACCTTAACCGCAGCTTCAACGTCAACGTGCCTTTCGTCCTCATGAACTCCTTCAACACCGATCAAGACACCCAGTCCATTATCAAGAAGTACGAGGGCCACAACGTCGACATCATCACCTTCAACCAGTCGCGCTACCCCCGCATCATCAAGGACTCCCTCCTGCCCGCCCCCAAGAGCTTCGACTCTCCCCTCCAGGACTGGTACCCTCCCGGACACGGTGACGTTTTCGAGTCCCTGTACAACTCCGGCACTCTCGACAAGCTGATTGAGCGTGGTATCGAGTACATCTTCCTGTCCAACGCCGACAACCTCGGTGCCGTGGTTGATCTCCGCATCCTGCAGCACATGGTTGACTCCCAGGCCGAGTACATCATGGAGTTGACTGATAAGACCAAGGCTGACGTCAAGGGTGGTACCATTATTGATTCCGACGGCAAGGTCCGCCTGCTCGAAATTGCCCAGGTGCCCAAGGAACACGTCAACGAGTTCAAGTCCATCAAGAAGTTCAAGTACTTCAACACCAACAACATCTGGTTGAACGTCCAGGCTATCAAGCGTGTTGTTGAGGAGAACGAGTTGGAGATGGAGATCATCCCCAATGAGAAGTCCATTCCCGCCGATAAGAAGGGTGAGGCCGATCAGGCTATCTACCAGCTGGAGACCGCCGTCGGTGCGGCCATCCGTCACTTCAAGAACGCCCACGGTGTCAACGTGCCCCGTCGTCGCTTCTTGCCCGTGAAGACCTGCTCCGATCTCATGGTTGTCAAGTCTGATTTGTACCGTCTCGAGCACGGCCAGCTGGTCATGGACCCCAACCGCTTCGGTGGTGTCCCCGTGATCAAGCTCGGATCCGACTTCAAGAAGGTCTCCGATTTCCAGAAGCGCATTTCCAGCATTCCTCGCATTGTTGAGCTGGATCACCTCACAATCACTGGACCTGTTAATCTCGGCCGCAACGTCACTCTCAAGGGAACCGTTATCATTGTCGCCTCCGAGGGTAGCACCATTGATATTCCCCCTGGATCCGTGCTTGAGAACTGCGTTGTGCAGGGTAGTTTGAGAATCCTCGAGCACTAGATTTACGCTAGTTGTTTTGGTCGGATTCTTCCAGATCTGCAGTTTTGATTTTCTTTTTAACTGGTGCATCCGAGGCTATGGATTCCATGGAGTCAAAAGAAGTACTTGTATTACATTACAATAATCCAGCGTCTTTTTTCTTTCTTTCTTATTGGGTTTTTAGTCTAGACCTGACTTTCCCAAGTACTTGCTGCTAAGTCCTGAATGCATCAACATTTTCAAAATAATCTACATCGTAGTATGGTCACATCTTTGGCTCCTATGAATAGCCCCAACAGTATGTAGAATCCCCTAAAATACCTTTAAATCAAGAAATTGCCATGAACGATAATAGGCGGGTGAAAGTTCCCCATGATATCTTCCCAACGTCATTTGCGGCAAAGCCCATTTGCCCTAATAACCCCCCAAAGCAGTAAATTGTCCTACAATCATTCGAAACATATACCACCATGCATTGATCTTGTACAGTTTCAACTTTGTTTGTATATTGCGAGTACATACTGTATATCTCCTTTTACATATTCCTTTTTTTTTTTACATACGCTTCTTCACATATTTGAATTCTTGTCTATATATTTGATCTATATTTTCCATTTGAACAAAAGCAAAAGAAGAGAAGGGAATTCACTGCTCATGGAATATGAGTGGGAATCACCGTCGTCTTGTACCAGGTCCCTCTCCTTCCGAGGATGACCCGGAGAACTATCATGAACATGATGAAAATGGTAGTCCCCCCGAAGGAAGAGGTACATGGAAGAAGAGGGTTTCAACTGCTTGTCTGGCTTGTAAGAAGTCGAAGAGGAAGGTGAGACTATACATCTATCCCTAGATTTATATCAATCTAATAATATCAGTGCTCCGGCACATCCCCCTGTGCAAACTGTCAAACCTTCAAAAGAGTCTGCATCTTCGACGAATCTCTCGACCAACGTCGACGAGTAGCCGCAAAACGAACAGCAGATGAACTCTCCTACCACCGCGACCTCCTTTCAGATCTATTCAGGCTGGTCCGTGAAGCAAATGAACAAGACGCCCTTCATCTGTTGACGATAATCCGTCACAATGCCCCCGCTGACGAAATCCGCGCCTACATAAATGAAACACTCGCTTCACCTACCTCGCCCACATCGACATCTACTGTCAAGCAGGAAACTGTCGCAAAGCTAGAAGATATGCGCCAGCTCATCAATGTCGAGGGTACCAGTCCTACTTTCAGAAGAAAGGTTATGGATATCCATTACCTGTGTGACTCGGCGCCTTGTGAAGTACCGGCAGCGCCGTGGACGAGGGTTACAACGGATGCGGATCTGGTGTCGCATCTTGTGTCGTTGTATTTTGCGTGGGATTGGCCGTTTAGTGCGGTTTTGGATAAGGAGGTGTTTGTTAGACATATGGCTAAGGGGGTATTGGGATCTGAGTTTTGTAGTCCGTTTTTGGTTAATGCGGTGCTCAGTAATGCTTGTGTGGGTATTTTTCTCTTTTTTTTGGGTTGAGTCTTCTGCTGATTGGTTTAGTACTTCTCTGATTTCTCCGAGGCGTATGTCGTGCCTGGTGATATCTCTTCGAAAGGAAGTGATTTTCTTGCTGAGGCTGAGAGGCTGAGAGGTGAGGAGAGTTCGCAGCCTAGTTTAGCTGGGTTGCAGGGGACATTGTTGATGTATGAGAGGTTTGTATAACCATCTTTGTCCTGATTTGACGGTGTTCTGACATAAATAGATATGCAATGTCCCGTGAAGACGATCTGGGCTATATCATGCTGCATCAGGCTATCCGAATGGGCCAGGCACTGGGTATAGTCGGCAGCACAGGACCCAGAATGGCTTCTGGTGAGTTATCCCACGACATGGATATCTCATGCAAGCGCACAGCCTGGGGTCTGTTCAACGTCGACACGTAAGTGATCTTTATTAGTGCACACTCTTCGAGCTTATATTCACACATCCGCAGAATGGTCCACACATCATTCTTGCGTCCAAGTCTTATCGACCATGTCAACATAGCTCGTCTCGATATCAACCAGCCCGAAGATGAAGCCCTCTGGCATCCATACCCAACCCACCGCGACCCGCGCCCGTCATTCTTCAGTCAGTATTTCGACGAAGCATGCAATCTGTCGATAATAGCGCGTGATATATCGCGCAGCATGTTCGCAGACCATAGGAGTAATCCGGCCCTCGGTCCAATCTACCGTCAGAGCCGGGAGGATCTATACGACCGCATCCGTCGCTGGCACGATCTTCTCCCGGAAGACTTTGATATGCGATACAGGCCAGCTCCGCATATCATCTTACTAAAGTGAGTAGCATATAAAAATCCGTCTTGCAAATCCTCATACTCATCATATAGAATGCGCTACCACGCACTCATCATAAACCTCTTCAGTTGTATCTCGGAAGACGAAGTCCCATCCATACAATTCGAGCCCAAAACACCCGAAAGCCCACCGCGCCATACCCCGGAGCGAAAATACAACGCGCGGGAAGTAACTCAAAGCGCGGCGCGTGGTATCGCGGCATTAACGCGTCTACATCGACGCGAATTCGGGGTTAGTCGCGTGCACCAATTCGCGATGTACGCGATCAATCTGGCGCTGTTTACGATGCTTGAACAGGAGTCGTTTGATGTATTGGATGAGGATTTCCTCACTCTTGCCAGTGCATTCTCGATTGTTGCGAGTCGGTCTGCGCTGGGGAGAAATCTGTTTCATATTTTCCGACAGTCGGTGAGGGCGAAAGCGCAGGGGTATCGGATTCGGGAGGCGAGTTCTGTACCTGAGGAGTTGAAGGAGTTATTTGATGAAGAGTCGAAGGCGAGGGGGTGTAGTCGGTTTGATGAGTATGCTGATGGACTTGAGAAATTGAATCAGAAGGATAAGTATCATGGAATTGGAGAGGGAAGAGGATTGCAAGATTATCCTGGTCTTGGACTTTCTGATATGTTGGATCGATATGAAAGTCTTAGTCTTGGTAAGGATGATGTTTTGGTTGAAAGGTATCGACCTGTTGGATGTTGATATAGTATATAGTATATATGAATTTCATACAAGATAGATATTCAAGATATTCAAAAGGTGACACTGAAACAAGTTGAGGGAAATAAAAGACAAGGGGAAGTTTTGCCTGACGTCAAAAAGATCAGTGGCAAAGAGCATGTCTCTCCACCGATCAACAGTCGAATCCAATTGTTTTTCTTTTCGAACTCCGCATTTCTCTGAACTTCATCTTCTCTGAAAAAAATATCATTCATGTTGAATAAAATATGAATAATGATCCAAATTTCGAATACAACTGCATATCAAATGAATCTATACCTCAACATCCATATTCCACATTTATTCCACCAACCCAACCCCAATCATTCCAATATATGTCTACCCCGGACTATGGAGGGAGTTCTGCGCCGAAGGTAGCCATCCCTCGTTTAGCCGGCTCTGACACCTTAATACACGGGCGCCGACGGTCAGCGCGGGCCTGTGAGCCCTGTCGTCAGCGCAAGATCAAGTGCGATGGTGTCCGGCCATTGTGTGGACAATGTGAATACAACAGTCATACTTGCTCCTACGAAGAAGTCAAACGTGTGCGCGATCAGAAACGACTGGGTTCCTTAGTAAAACGAGTTGATACATATGAAGCCTTTCTTCGAGAACTAGAAGCCGAGGTCGACCTTCCCACCGCTCGAAAGATCAAGAAAGCATTGAAGGTATGTCAACGTCTAATAAAGTCCCCTAGCCTCACCCGAGACTTGGATCTTTTCGATCGGAAGTTCCAAGTTCAGACTCTGACTATTTGCCATTTGGCAAATTAAGTCCAAAAGTGGGAATCCCCCTAGAAAACATGACGACTCCGATTCTTCGACATCTATAGGCTCACTCGATGCTATCGACCAGGTCGACGAAGATTTGGATCGGAACGAGGACACTCGTGCTGCGGGCTTTTTTGGGAAGAATTCAGACGTCAATTGGATTCGCAAACTGGAAAGCGGCGTGGGCATGAAGAGTCCATCAGAACAAGTGTCGAATCCTTTCTATATGGAGAGTCACCATGATCCAACATCTATTCAGCAACAGCAGCAGCTATTGGAAAGGCAAATTCCTACTTCTATGATGGATTATCATTTAGACGGCATGGATATTCCATTGATTGAACCATGCGATCTATTAGCTGTGCCCCCGCGGGAATTAGCAGACCGATATCTTGACGCCTACCTGATCAATGTCCATCCGACATTCAGCGCAATTCGGAAGACGACTTTTATCTCCCAATATCAACAGTTTTTCAACAATGCATCGACACCACCTCCGAAATGGCTGGCCATTTTAAACATGATCTTTGCTATTGGTTGTCGATACTGCCGACTCATAGATAACCCCCAAAGCACCGAGGAAGACCTGATGTATCTGACCCGGGCGCGCCATCTCGGCTTGCACAGCAATGTGCTGTTCGAGCACACCGATCTCCAGCAGATCCAACTTGAACTCCTGGTGGCAGTTTACCTACTTTGCCTAGGCCAAGTCAACCGGTATGTCCCATTTCCCCATCTCCCAGCATCATACTAACTCCCCCTCCCTCAGAGCATCCAAATTCTCCAACATGGCCCTCCGCTCAGCCCTATCCCTCGGTATCAACCTCCGCCTAACAGATGACCGTACCAAAGATGCCGCCAAAGAAACTCGCGGCCGCCTCTGGTGGTCCATCTACTCCCTCGAACACCTCCTAGCCTCAATGACCGGCCGAGCCTCCTGCGTCAGCGAAGGCCTCTGCTCCGTCCCCGCACCCCTCCCTTACGAAGAGGAATCATTTAACGAACCCTCCGCCAAACGCCTCCTCCAAGACCCAGCCCTCCGCGAAGCCCAACTCCGCTCCACCCTCTTCGAATCCCCCAATCAACACCACTCCCCTTCATGGATAACCTCCTGTCCACCCTGTCCATCCCTCTTCTTCAACTTCCTCGTCGACCTAACCCTCATAACCCACGCCCTCATGAACAAAGTCTACAGCATCGAGGGTCTCCGCAAAGGCCCCAGCCAAGTAGAATACCACGTCCAAAAGTTCAGTCTTCAAATGGACCGTTGGCTCTTCAAACTCCCCCCCTTCTACCAATTCACTATCCCAAACGCCGGACCCTGGCATCTAAACCACCAACTAGACGACCTCACCATCCCATTCGTTCGCGAACGCGTCTGTCTAGCAATGAACTACTACTCCTCCCGAATCACCCTCTGCAGACCATGTCTAAGTCACATCCACCAAACCCCACGCCACACAGGCGAAACCCGGGGAAAACTCCGCACCGAAATGGCCACGAATTGTCTCCAAGCATCGTGCGCTCTTATCTCCATCCTCCCCACGAATCCGGATATGGCATGGTTAGCACGCGTCGCGCCTTGGTGGAGTATCCTCCATTTCCTCATGCAGGCCACTACCGCTCTATTACTAGGTTTGGCATACTGTTCCGGAGCAAATATGTCCAGTCCGGACCGTGTGAATCCACTCAGTCCTACCCCTTCACCGGGAGGTTATACACTGCTAGAGACGGATTTGAGTACGGCTGTTGAGGCGACGAGGAAGGCTTTCGCTTGGATTCATACCACTGCTTCTGTGGATCCGGCGGCGCGGAGGGCGTTTCTGCTTTGTGATGGGATTATTAGGAAGATTGCGCCTGGGTTGGGGATTGATTTGACGGAGTGGCCTGATGGGAGTTCTTTTGAGGGGTTGATGGGGGAGAGGGAGAGGTCTAGTGGGAATTCGAGTGGGAATGGTGGTAGTAGTGGAAGTAATGGACATGATAGTGGGATGGAGGCGTTTGATGAATTGGTTGATTTTGAAGGTGGTGTCTTTTAGGGACTTGGTGATCTCGATTTTATGACTATATAATACCTACCTATGCAAATACAGGGCTTTGCTCAATAGTCAATAGGGTGATAATATAAATGTAGTTATCCATGGCGACCACTACAAGTACCAGGCTAAAAGCCTTTGCACAATTGACAAAATGAGATTATAACCGAGTATGTACTAAATTGAGAACATTAGATATGTAAGAAAAAGGATAAAACAGGCTAAGTAAACAATAGACGGAAACTGGAATGCCTGAGATGCCAAAAAGCACACAACGCCATAGACCCACGAAAACACTTGCGACACTTCATGGGCGTAAATCGATAGAGCACACAGAGCCGAGGAATGATATAAACACCGATGTTCTTTGGAATAAAACTTGAGTCAAAATATACGCTCAGAAGTGAAAGTTCGGTCAATGGATGTTGCATTGATTATATGAAACCAATATCCCGAACCATATTCAGCACTACGTCGGTTGCGGCTGCATCTGGATCTGGAAGGTATGCTGATGCTCATGTTGCGGTGCAGGCGGGGGAGGGGGCTGGCTCCGTTGAGGAATCGGGGGTCTGCGTGGTTGGCCTGGTATCCCGTGGACGGGGGACTCAGACGACATCGGGTGCTGCATTTGTTGTTGCATCGGTGATTGAAGATATGGCTGATGAGGGAGGGGTCGCGGGGGGTGGACAGGAGAGTGGTGGTGCATTTGCATGTGTGGCATAGAGAGCGCCTGACCGGGCTGCTGGGGCAGGGATTGGGTATGCGGCAGGTGGGAGCCGGGCTGGGAGGACATATGTTGGTTCTGCTGATGCATGTGCTGGACTTGCGGCTGCCCAATATGCTGATTTGCCTGCGTCTGTGAAGACTGATTCTGCTGGAACATGTGGAGATTCTGCTGTTGCGGCAAAGACTGGCCTTGAAGCATTTGCGGTGGCGTGGGACAGGGCCGTTTGCGCGCCTCTTCATCGACTGAAGATGTTGTACGTTTGAGTGCGTTTGTATCTGCGCCCTCGCCCGGGTTAATGTCTGTTTGCGCCTGATCTCCACTAGCCGCAGCAGCTGCGGCAGCGGCAGCGGCAGCGGCCACATCAGCTTTGCGAGGTCTCCCACGTGGTCGGCCTGTGCCAGGCGCTTTTGGTTTGGCGGAAGCTGGCTTCCTTGGCTTAGGCGGTGGTAAGGGTTGGCCCGTTGCAGCCGCCCACGCAATTTGATCGGCCTTGCGAGGACGTCCACGTTTTCGCTTCAAAGGAGTCCCATCCGGTCCTAGAATGGGCGTACCCTTGGTTGTGGTTGGTACTGCGCCTGTAGCAGTCGGCGTCATGTTCGCAGTAAATGAAGCTTGTCCTGGTTGAGGTACTCCTGGAATAGACTCGCCATTTTGGGCAGCCTGCGCGGCCTGCGCTGCAAGCCTGGCCGCTACTTCCTCCTTCCTAGGCCGTCCACGGCGACGCTTCGGAGGCGGAGTGGCAATTTGGTCACCTCCAGCTGTGGCCACGGCGGGCATCTGCCCTTGTCCGTTGCCCTGTGTTGGGAGAGAACTAGGAACGCCCATGGGTGGATTTAGTTGAGATTGCGCATGAGGTTGGGTTTGTACGGGCTGAGCTTGAGTTGGTGTAGCCTTCTTAGGTTTAGCTTTCTTCTTCGGTACAGGGCTCAACTCGTCAGACTTCATGACCGGGCTTTCGGAGACAGCAGGAACAGCCGGTGCAGCTGTCTGCGATGAAGGCACGGCAGCGGAGTGCGGTCCTGGCTGATAATGCTGGAATTGAGCCTGGTGCGGAGATGCCTGGAACTGCGACTGCTGCGGCTGAGAGAATTGCGTCTGGTGTGGGGCGTACTGATGTTGCGATTGAGCTTGATGCTGCTGATATTGAGACGGGTGGAACGGAGGCTGGGTGTGTTGTGAAAAGGGTGACTGTTGTTGGTACGGGTTGTGTGCCTGCGACTGGTGCTGTAATTTTTGCAGCCTCTGCTGCTCCAATTGCTGCTTCTGCTGGTGCTCAAGCCGCTGCTGCTCCACCCGTTGCTGATGCTGTTTCTGTTGTTCGAGCCTCTGCTGATCTAGGCGTTGCTGTTGTTGTTGTTGCTGCTGCTGCTCCAATATCTTTTGCTCATCTAGCTTTTGCTGCTCCAATTCCTTCTGCTGCTCAAGCCGCTGCTGCTGTTCTAAGCGTTGTTGTTGTTCCAAACGCTGTTGCTGGATTTGCTTTTGTTGCTCCATCCTCTGCTGCTGCTCGAGGCGTTGTTGCTGGAACTGCTGCTGTTGAATTTGCTGCTGCAACTGTTGGTGAGTCTGTTGAGGCGACTGCGGTTGTGACTGTGGCTGGGCCTGTCGCTGTTGATTCATGGCAAACATAGACGGGCTAGCCATAGAGGGACTGCCGGACGTATGGTTATCCCTCTGTTGCATGCCTGCATGAGGAAGTCTGTTCATCCCCTGCTGCGGCGAAGGAACATTCATGGGATGTCCATGAGTGAGGCCAGTTGAAGGACTCATTCCTGGCTGCGGCCGAAGGTGGGCCATTGGATTAAACCCACTACGCTGAAGGTTCTGCAGTGCCATAGGGTCTGGGTTACGAGACATCAAATCCGGGGAGCTCTGTGCCGCAAACTGCCCCGGAAATTGGCCAAAACTGGTGGTAGTGGGGTATCCACCTAATGACCCCGATGTCGGGGTCATCTTGCGCATATCCGGAGATTGCGATGAACCGAAGTTCTGCTGAGGTTGCCCACGAAAAATTGGCTTATTCCCCGGGAATGGACTGCCATGCTGTGGCAACTGCGGCCCCGCACCTAGCAAGGGCGACTGGGCATGCTGACGTTGAGGCTGCGGACCCAACGGATGTTGGGATTGTACACCTTGATGTTGCGGTTGTTGAGGTTGCTGTGTCTGCTGAGGGTGGAATGGGTGACCACCGTAGTTCATCATTTTGACTCAAACTTTTAAAAATGCGCTGGCACTCGGCCGTAAGCGGCAGATAATGGAATGATCCTTTCGACCACAAAGCATGCAAGGGCGAGAATAATCCAAAAATCGCAAAATAGCTTTGAAATGTGAAAGGTGAAATACAGAAGGGCAATTATAAACCAAGACTGTCGATGTTGCGCCAGCGCCGATAATTCTACACGGAGAATCGCCACCTAAGTCGCGCCGAAGCCGCGTGTTTGTTGTTCCCTGGAAGCCTGAGGCCACAAGGCGGCAAGGCAATGGAACGACCGTGCACTTGTTTCCCAATTAGGATTAGCGGCTACGGAGACCGAGGTGAGTCGGTCAGCGCAGTTCGAGAAAATGAGTCGACGGTCGCTCAAAGGGATTCAGGGGGGAGACCAGCTGGAGAGAATCCAGAGAGGTAGCGAAGGTGATCCAAATCTATTTGCTAGAGGCCTTAGCGGATAACAGGGCCTAGCAGAAGTAGATTGGAGATGAAGTGGATGACGCTGGGCTGGAATCCTCGATGGCGAGGGAAAAAAACAATAAAAAATAAAAAATAAAATAAAAATAAAAAAATGGGAAAAAAACGGAATTTTCAGATTCTCCTCTCCATATCACGTGATCATATCCTAGGCTACCTTATGTCTGGAAATAGTATGATCTAGTCTATGTTGTATATTCAGTTTTCTATCTAAGATACTCTCTAAACTTCTATTTCTCTCTTTGAACTTCATCCTTCACTTAACACATCTACTCATCTAGTTATCTAACTATGTACTTATCTTCCGCTATCCTTGTAAAGTATACGGAGTAGAATCACACCACTTAAAGTACGTGCTACCTGAAAACTATGGAGACATCATACTGCTTTACCATCCTTGTCCTCCGCTACCCGAAGATCTAGGGCAAAAAAAAAAAAAGAAATAAGCTTGCCGGAACCCCTTCCAAAGTGCCAATACTGACAATGATCCACAATACCACAAATAAGGAGCGGATCTGCATAAAATTAGCCCACCACTATGTATATTGTAGATCATGAATATCCTCCATATCTTTCCGATAATATTTAATTTGATGCAAGATCCTTGCTATATTTCTTAAACTATTGCTCTGATATTGGATTGGTCCCTCAGGCATTTATGTCCCTTCTTAGAACACAATAGCCGAGGTTGAACGTGATGTCTGTGACTTGTCCTATACATGACGTTGAAACAAAGGTGGTTTCTAAAGGTATTACACCACTGTCTGATATGTCACAAGAAAGTCTTCCCACACTTTCTTAATATCGTTTTGATAAATGAAATCCTTGTCTCCATAGAGGAAAGTGTCAATTTTGGCTTGCAGAATGACATCAAAATCCTTCTCTGCTTGGAGTTGTGTTTTGTCACGTATTTCGTCTAGATGCTGATACCTGTGAAGAGTTGGAAAATCATGATCAAACACATAATATCAAGTCCGAACTTACATTTTGGCATAGTACGGAGACCGAATCTGTTCAAATATCTCCAGAGCGTCCCGTGCAGGATGCGAAGCAAACCGCGTAAGCTCAAGCGCTCGCGCGAGGATCCAACCATCCTCCATGGCAAATGTCGCCCCGGAGCCAAAAGCGCCTAAGAGACTATTAGCGCTGAACATGACCATAAGTCAAATAATAGCATGGAATTACCCGAAAGGGGGTGACTGGCATCTCCAATAAGGGCAACTTTATCCCAGTCAGTGATTTTATTCAGACGAGGCCCAGCGAATGTCGCAAACTCCCTCCATTCTCCTTCAGTCACCGTGCTTACTGCATCCCTCATTCTCTGGTCGAATGTCTGTCTTACACATTAACAATTGCTTATCGATCCAGCAATGGTATGTCGTACCTCAACACGCGTTCCTACTTTCTCGTTGGTTGCAGGGACACCCCAAAAGACAGTCTTCCCCGAAACTTCAGGCTCACGGTAGGATCGAACAGTAATTTCAAACAGCGGATCTTCGGTATCTTCTTCATCATCCACATCGGATAAATATACATGGCCAGCTTCACCCCACCACCATGACGTTGTAGTCGTGATATCCGGGATATGGGCCAGATGAGATTTCGGAATCAGAACACGGAATGCAGAGTTTCCTGTGAAGTGAAGTTGATGATGAGGCAATAGGGCCCTGCGGACAACCTACCTCATAAAGCTGCGTCAGTCACAGATACTAGTTTCAAAGGGGATGTGACGAACAGAGTGTATCCCATCTGCTCCAACGACAATGTCTGCGATCGCCTCCGTGTGGTCCTGGAAAACCAGACGAACTCCCTGGCCAGAAAGATTTTCCAAAGATACAACCTTTTTGCCAAATTGGATCAAGCCCACGGGCACTCTCGATAAGAGAGCGGACTGTAGCCGGGTTCTCCGAGCCCGGATTGAACCGCGGTAATTTGCAGGCGGATTTTCTGGTGGAGGGCTGATGCTCACCACCTTCCCTGTGTAGGCGTTTCTTTCAATTCTGTGTCAATATGTGCGTTAAATGTTACCACGGCCAGGAAAGAACCGCTTACCTGTGGTGTGTGTTAGATTTAGAGCCCCCTTTGATACCACCACTAGCTCCAAGTAAATCCAGAACTTTCCACGCATTGGTGGTCAGACTGATGCCCGCACCGGCTTCTCGGGGCTCCGAGTTCTTCTCATACAGAGTCACCTTGAGGAATGGCAGTTCTGAGAGAGCAATCGCAGTAGCTAATCCTCCGGGACCGCCACCAACGATGGCCACAGAAGTCAATGCTTGTCCAACCATATTTGTGAAAGGATTATAGACAAAGATGTGGTGGTTCTCTAAGTGGGTTTTGCTTATATATCTGAAATCTTAAATCTCGTGGTCGGGAATGACCGGTAGATAAATACATCGCACGCCATACTAAGCTTCGAATGTGCCATGCGCCACTAGTGTCTTGCTGTCCACCAATCCCCCCCCAACGAGTTAACCGACTAGGGAGTTTGGGCAATCGGATCAACCGTGTAGATAGTCATGGAATATTTCGTTTCAGCACGTGCTGGCTTATCTGTGTTCGATCAGACTATCTCCTACCAGATGAGCGGGGTCCACCAGGGGACCATGAAGGGAGAAGAGGATATGTTGCAAATTCTATGATCAAGGGAAGGTTGATGGCATAGCGCCATAATGGTACTCTCGCCTTTTGTAGATAGGATTAGTAGCAGATGGTTGGCTTCTGTGGAAGCGTATGGAAACCTGGGATGCAACGGTATAGGGGCCATGCGACAAAACCCCCTTTTAAAGCCTTTTGTACAAATCAAGTCTTTCTCCGCCTTTCTTTGCCCTCGACATATAACACTGACAAGACAGAATAATATCTAAGAAGACCGCTAAAGTGACCACTGAAAATACCACTGAAATAACATCACAAGTCCGCTTATGCAGCCGGCTATTTTCTTGCGTTCATCAAATCAAAAACCATGGATACTCGCTATAGAGTGTGTGGATTTTAGCAATAAGTATAGCAAGAAGGGGTCGGATCAATGCAAGCTTGGGACCCTTGGAACAGATTAGTCCGATAGTGCTAACAGGCTCGGGGAAGATTATTTGGCTCAGGTTATCTACATATGCATGTATCATTCCACAGTAGACGAAAACATAAGTTGTCTATGCCCTTCTCTCCTAGACCTTCACTGCGCTTCTTACCTTCGATACCGCAATGATTTTGAAGTATCCAGACTATATTTCGTCAGTATTAAATGGTATCTACCAGTCCGCCGAACACCAGGCTTGAAAACCTGTCTGTTACTGGCTAAGACTGCAGGTACTTTTGCCAGTCTTAATCAAAGGTAAATGTACTTTTGGTCGCACGCTAGATAGGCTTGTTTTCAAGGTGCAACATTTGTGCAACAAGTAAGCGCTAGAAATCATCTAGTCTAACTAGTGCTCCCTCGACTCACCCGATAATGTGGGGACTAGACTCTGTATAGCAAGGAAAACGAAGTATTTTACCACTATAGCACAAGAAAAAGCAAGCTACAGAGCTACAATGCAGGGATGTTGTGTGACGATCTAGCTAAATGGGAAATCCAAGCTAATTGTCTAGGTCCTGCAGAGTTAGATTAGCCAACGCGCTACTCCCCTAACTAATTGATCCTGCCGAACTACTGTCGTTGTGGTGTCGAACGGCAAAGATAATTTGAATCACAATATCTTCCCCTGACTTACTAGAGTAATTTAGCCTAATTTCCCCACGCTACCCCGGAAAACCGTATACAGCCAATGAACCGGGAGACATTCAATTTCACGCTGCATATTGAACTCCCGGGCCTTGCAAAGTTGGGTTAGCTATTTTTTGTCGAGAGGGGTACATAAATTTGTCAAAAAAATTCGTCCGGTTTAGAATATAATCTTTCCCGCATCATTTTCTGTAGTCCTCTTCATTGGCATCTTCAGTTATATGTCAGTCACAATGCGCTCTTTCGTCACAATTACAGCTTTGCTTGCTGGTTTCACCAGGTTGTACCCCGTCACAAAGGCCGTAATGATTATAACCTCGATGCGCTTACTCAAGTTCGAGATTAGGAGATAATGAGGGAAACAAGCAGTGAAATTGCATACATTATTGACAATCCATCCGAAACCGGTTACCACTGTTTCCATTGGAATATAGTCTTTCATTCATGTCTCAGTCCACGGGTTCCTCAATTCATGCTTAATTCGATATTTGAGACGTGCTAATACCACCAGTCCATCTTATCTTAATTTCCTCCGCATGAGACTGAATAAAGGAAAAAGACAAGCACTATGGCCTGTATCATAAATTCGCTAACCGATAATAACCCCCAAAATAACCTATCGATTCAATCCAAGGGGGTTGTCCCCAGTCTGCTTCTGTCCCCCAATGCTAGAAACGCCACTCTGCACACCCTGTCCAGCGCTCTTGGCGGTGTTCCCGACGCTCTCTGTTGCTCCTGAGACTGTATTTCCAAGGCCGGATGTTGCGTCGCCTACAGTTGAGCCGAGACCGCCAACTGTGTTTCCCAGTGTGTTGGTCACGCCGCCGACTGTCTTGCCTAAGGTATCGCCTAGGCCGCCGAGGAGTCCGGCTATTGATTTCATTAGTTAGGTCCAGGCCTTTGGGGTTGGTGGATGGGGAACGTACGGTTCTGTTCGTTGGACATGGTTAAAAGTATGGGTAGTTTTGGGGTTGTAGGGAGTATGTGATTCGAATAGTTTTAAAAAGTTTCATGTATTTGATGTTGTCGTTTTGATTGAATTATGCTAGTCGCAGGTCTTTATTTATATCACCGCGACGCCTCGAAACCGGTTACATAGCCATGATATAATGGGTGCAACATCCACTAATATGCCATATGAGATGCAACCATGCGCCACAATTGAAGGGGGTCCAATGACAGTATAGCGACCAGTGCGATCCCTTTCTAGCAGCAACCATTATCACAGTTAATATCTTGGATGTATCCATCTGACGTATAGCTGTACCCCATATCCCCCGCAGCGTGGATGATTGGACGTCATAATTGATATTCTCCGGTCACATTAATAGTGTATTTCTAGAAAGTTTGGTTATATTAAAATAAATGTGGCCAATGGTGTTATGATTCTAATTCCAAGTTCGGAGCCCAGGGGGTATGATGTCATTGTCCAGTTGCCTGAGGCCACAAGGCAGGTGAATATCACGTGAGATCTAGACCGATCATATGACAATCTGACAACCCACATGGTTCTTAACGGTTTAGTGGGAATTATCGTTGACTGCTTGGCACAACTACCCAAGGTGGGGAACATATTTGACAGGAATATCAGAGACAAAAGGGATAAAGGCCGCATAAGCGACAATTCCTATCTGATATGAAAAATAAGTTCAAGGTCTTTGATGACTATGTTACTACTTCGTACTCCGTACTATGTCCAGATTATCGTCTGCGTGGTCTTTTTCATCTGATATCGATTATTTTGAGACAGGAGGGGTAGATGTAGGTCTTATTCTGGCGTCCCATGTCGCAGTTGATGGAAAGCTGACTGCATAAAACGATAGACTGATCGGCAGCGCTAATCTTAGGGGTTCGATTTTGAGGCTATCAGACCGACCAATTAAGATGGGTGCTGAAACAACAGTGCCACGATGATCTGAATTATCTCCCATTATATTGGGATTACTGTTCTCAATGGAGAAGTATGCTACATGTATTCATGGGAGGAAGACCTATTCCCAGGCACTGCATTTATATGCTGAGTCAATCACTCCGTTCCAAATTCAGGTCTCCGATTCTCCACAGTTCTGAATTGCTTTTGGCAGAGAATGCATTAGGGCTGACTAGACAAGTACAAAGTTTAATGTAAAAAAAAAACATGAAAAAGCCCCAACAAGGCGCATACCCTTAACTCAGCCCTGGCCCGTTTCAGCCTTCGGTAATATGAAATATGTACCCCGTACGGAGTACATATCAAAGCATGAGGTGTCCTACACTCTGTACCTATAACCCAGGGCGATTTTCTACTTCTATCCAGTCCTGGTGAACTCAAAGGAATTGAAAAAGCGCGTCCACCCCCAATTTGGCAAGAAAGTTGAATCTCTGAAGAATTGAAAAGAGACTAGTGTGTTGTCAAAGTTCCTTACTTTTACATCGACCCGAAGGGCAATATTGAAGGATTCAAAGGAGGTCCAGTATGTGAGAAGGCTAACGTTTGCCTAAATTCTGTCAACCTTCTTCCTATCAATGAGTGACAAGTAGTACGTTTCAAAGATCGAGCTTATTTGAACCGAAGTCCAGAAAACTAGCTAGCAAATTGTGTGGTGTTAAATCCTTCCAAGTTGCCCCAGTAGTTCTGACGGGAGATGGGCCAAAACACCCCTCCAATCCCAGTCTCAGATCACTAGCTGTTATCAATCTAGCATGAAGCTCCGCCCTGGATACCACCGTGGCACGAGCTCCTGCCACAGTCTTTGATCTCAGTCCACTTTCCGCCTTTGCACTCAACCTTTTTTCACGGAGAAATGTATTAGCAAATGCCAAACATGATACCATATTGCAATTGGATATGTTAACATACAATACCGGTCCGGTCACAACCGCAGAAGTGTCTGTCTCCGTTGGATGACTTGCAAGGGCTGTTTGTACGTCTCTGGGCGGGATCATAGCCGGCTCCACAGGTGTCGCGGGTCTCCAGGACTGCAGCGCTGACGGCGGTGGCAGCCATGAGGGTGCAGAAGATAGCAGTGAACTTCATTGTGAAAGTGGTTTGTGTATTGAAAGGTAGTTTAAATGAGATTGATTGTTCAGGAAGGCTTGATGTCCAGAGTATTAGTTTCTGGAGGATGGTTCGATGTATTTATACTTCATCAGAGCCAAGATCAAGGCTTCTTGACGATCTCCCTAACCCAGGAAATTCCCAGAATGGAATGCCTGATTAGGAACTACTATGCGCTGGCGTGGTTTGTTCCTTGATCGAGGTTGCATTGCAGGAAGCTGACCAGACAACACTGCCCCATAGCTGAGCAGGAACAAACACATGGAAATGCATACCCCGTATGATTTTACTGGAATAGTAGAATCTCGACGTTGATCAATCTTGGCGGCTCTAGAATACGGATGAGCATTCGTCGGGGTTATTCCTATATCCTTTACCTATGCACATAAGCCTGCACGAGTCATGGCGGCCGGAATGATAGTGTTAGTGGGATATGTAATTGAGTTTCTGGCAAGTTGAAAGCTATACTATGTACATAGAAAAGTCGTCTGCACAGAGCCCTTTTCCGCCTTTTTTTGCTGTTGGTATATAAAACCAACAAGACAGAATGCTATATAAGAAGACCACTGAAAAGACCACTGAAAGACACCACGAGGCCGCTTATGCGGCCGACTATTCTAGTTATGTATACCTGAAGAATTTAAAGGGTTGAAGATCATTTCTAATAGCGGCAAAATGCCTTTTTGGATGCCTCCAATCTTATACTAATCGAATTTTGGTGAATTCGCTTTGAACTATAATCAGAATTGCCATTGCGATTATGATAGTATGCGCAGCCTTGATAAAATGTACATAACCGGAAAAAAAATAAGAGACTACAAAGCAAAAATAGATTTAGTGATATCGACCAATCGATTCAGCTTTCAAGGCATATGAACATGTGCATGCCCCATAGTCTAGATAGTCTGAGGAGTATACTCTCATTTACCTGACACCTGTCCATGTCTTAGATGGGGCCAGACCTAAATACGAAAAGAAAACCGGTTTGACTTTGGTGGCAGGGCGGAGCGCGGGAGATCCACAAGCCCCCCGAAAGCCCAGTGTCATAGTGTGACTGGTCCATTTACACCTGCAGCTGTAGTTCTCTTGGCAAGGGTGTATGTACCCCGCCTCATGAACGGCCCAAGATCCTAAAAGGGTTAAAGATGGAAGTAAGCGATCAAGACCCAATCAAGGAGACAAGGCACATACGAGTGGACGCCACTTGGACTATTCAAACCCTGTCATTGTTTTTACAGGCGGAAACGACAGCCCGGAAGGCCGAAACTCCGAGGGCATACGCTGCATGGATGTTCAGGTGAGCATTGACCAGGATTGTACCTACTTTCAGCCCAACCCCAGGAAAAGTGACTACGAGCAAACATGATCATAAATGTGTCCGAGGCTCAAACCATGGTCCACGGTAGCCACATGATCTGTCAGGACTATATCCTTCTACAATGGTCTTACAAGATTCCCAACCTCAGTTCAAAGTTCACAAAGTTCAAAGTGTCTGAATTGTCCTGGCTAATTACGCAAAGACTAGCCTCCGAAGCTGAAGCAAGCTGGTTGCGCACTTCGACAGTAAGAATTCCTTATGTCACAAAAGAAATCCGTTGTGAAAGTTAACAGCCATTTCCGAAACCATTTGCTCAGATTTCAATCCTCCTCCTGATCAGATGACATCTTAGATCATGAGACGCTCGACCTGGTTCTTGATAGCCTGGATCTGAGCAGTCAGCTCACTGGCCTCGTTGGTGGTGATGGAGGCAGCTATGACAGGGCGGGAAACACCGGTGGCACGGCCGAGAGCCATCTTGCTGGGAACGTAAACGTAGGGAACCTGATGTGGATGGTTAGTCTGGTTTCTCAGTACAGTGCTCTTATATTTAACTCACGTTCTTGTCCTCGGCCAAAAGAGGCAAGTGAAGGACAATAGCGAGGGGGCTGGTATCGGCAGCCATGATGACGAGCTCAGAAGTTCCACGGTTAAGGGACTTGGTGCACTCGTTAGCACCCTTCTTCAGCTGACGGTAGTGAGCGGCCTGCTGGACAAGGTCGAGGAGGCTCTGGGCGAGGGCCTCATCGGCGATGGGCCAGGCGGCGCTAGTATCTTCGGCCATTGTTGTGTAGTAGTTGGAAATTCAAACACCAGATCTTTAAGAAATGGCTCACTCGGTGGATCACGGCCGTGTAATTGCAACGGAAAAATAAATGAGATATAGATGGAAGTTAAAGTCGAAGATGGGAAATTTTCTGAGAGCGGACCGTTCAGATACACCGCCTGCCAAATTTGCATATTTTCTGCAGATGACTTCTCACCGCCGTTGTCCTATTGGTCACCGTAAATATGCCGCCACCGACTGTTGGTGCCCGTTTTATCAGGCGAAAGACAGGAATTTTTGTTTGTAGGTCATCAAACTTTGTGATGGATGGATAGAAGATGGTGGATGGTGGATGGAAATGGATGGATGACGTACGATGGAAAGAGCGCTGTTCAGTTCAGTACGCAAAGAATGTTGAAGTATGCAGATAATATCCATCAATCTGTTTGCACCTGCTCCCAACCAACCACTAACTATGTATGTACTCCGTAGTCATACCGTTTCGGCGCCTCCTTCCCTCCCTATCAACTTGTAGACCTCTTACTTTCTCCTTTACCTGGAGCACTTGTTTCTACAATTTGTCGCTGTCCATTTGCACTCACCACACCTAAACACCTCTCGAGGAAAGCTACAGCGATCTAGGTCTTCTTTATTATCCAACGCATTTCTTTTTCCCAAAACCATAGAGCCACCAAGACTTTGTTCTATGCAAATCTTTAATCATCTCATTCAAAGTATCTTGATATGCTAATTCACAAAAACCACCCGAAGGTTTAGTTGGTACCATTCACAGTGGCAGAGGCAAGGCGAGAGCGTGCACGTAGTGCAGGACCAAACTTGAATAGAATGAACGGAATAAATGTCAAGACGGTTGCAACCAATGCCAATAATAATCCAGCGTACTGACTATGCATGTTGTGGAAGAACTGGGAAGCAAACAGCGGCGAGACAGCACCGAGGGTGTTTCGCATGAAACCCTGACCGGCAATAGCAGAAGAAGAGTGTTCCCCGTAGCAATCGGCCGTATAACTATAACAGGACTCGAAGATAAAGAAGATACCGATAGTGATGAGGGCCAGTCCGATTACTGGGCCCATCCAGTGGAGACCCTTGTACTGGGTGAAGCTATAGATGAACAAACCAACTGGCAGCCAGACGGCTCCGCATAGGGCACCGTACAACCGAGCTTCGGGCGCGACCTCAACGTTCGGGTCAGAGGAGAGGGACTTGTACTTTCTGATTTGGAAGAAGTTGAGACCGAAACCGATAGTGGTTCCAAGGCAGAGGGATATGTAGGGAAGACCCGAGACTCCTTCGTTCCAGCCACGCTTTTCTTGGAAGGTGATTGGGATGACGGAGAGGAAGAGGAAGGTTAGGAACCAAGCGAAACTGATCCACAGACCGAAGGCGAAGACGACGGGCTCGCTGAAGAGCATCTTCACGGCCTTGACAGAGGAGTTGTGCAACATATGCTTAATACCGGGGGCTTCAATATCGCTGTGGGTCACGAAACGGTCGTCGCCGGTGGCCTGGCGGATTTTCTTCGCACGCTGGCTAAGACACACACTGCCACGAGTCTCGGGTAGGCAAGTTGCAATAACGATACCAAGGGGGATGTTGGCCAGACCTTGGATACCCTCGAGCCAGCGCCAGCCGAGTGCCTGGTCGATGAAACCGGCGTAGATGGGTGCACCGACTGTACCGAGGATGGCGATGAATGAGAAGCAAGCCATGGGGATAGCACGATGCTCAGGTGTATACATATCTCCAAAGGTTCCACCAACAAGGATTGTACCAACACAACCGAAAAGACCCAGCAAGGCACGACAGACTAGGATCGTGGCAATGTTCTTGCCTAGCGCGAGGCCGATGAACATAAGACAAAAGCAGACATAGGCACCGACATAGATGACTCGTCGACCAGCCAGCTCACAGAATGGAGCGAGAAAAAGGGGAGCAAGTGCACATGTAAAGTTGAAGGTGAATAGACCAAGTTTTCCAATTTCCTCTGATGTTCCTAGATCCACTGCCATGCGTGAAATTCCAGAACTGTATGCTGTCGTGGCAAGACCAATAAAAAGTGTCATGAGGCAAAGAAGCAAGCTGATGAATGCCTTTCGGCCGGAACTCCAGTTGAAGGGGTTCTCCTTATCTCCATCCACGAAGTCAAGCACGATAAATTCCTGGCCATCGTGCTGCTTAGGCTTTGTAGCTGTAAGAGGAAGATCGACGTCGACCTCTTGCAGTAAGCTGCTGTCGTAGTGCTGGATGTGCTCTTCTGAAAGTTCGTCCCGGTATTTTCCTCCGACGATCAGACCCTTTGTTGTACGTTCCTCGATGGCTGGGGCAGTCTGAAGTGAAGGAACATTCTCAGTATGGGAGGCCGATACGGGCTGAGGATTCTTGGTGGCCTTCATTGCATGTGGCGTGAAAAAAAGAAGGCTGGAAATTTTGCCTAGGAGGGAATAAACAGAATGGGCGTCACGACCTCTATAACATTTAAGTGTTCTTGCTCACCAATCCACTCACCATTTTCATCCGCCCACGCGCCCTGCGTCATGCTCCGGACTCTAGAGTCCGCGAGGACTGGGGCTGCGGGATTATACGGAGGGTGGATGAGGGGAATTCCAGGCACTGACCGATCGTGGTGCCAGCATGGAGCCCAAGAAGAATCTGTTGATCAATGAACCAGCTGGAATACCAAGTAAGTGGATATGACGAAAACTAGGTGGAAACCATTGTGCATGAGACTTATTCCTCGTATGTTAGATGTACTCCGTAGCTACCATCGATATCACCAAGTTCTCAAACAAGCTCTCAACCGCTTCTTATAGTATATATTCTCATTTGGTCACTTTTTTGCTCCAACATCTTATACCGCATGTACAGTTCTACACACCTGTATCCAAGATATTCATTTCGGGCGATCGGACGTTTAAACTTTGAACGTATCCCCGACGATGATCCGAATAACCTCCCGAACCGGGTTCCACACTTGGTCGGCATGCCGGTTCTCGGGACACGCCGATGATATATAGACCGAAAGCTTTCGGGAGAGGCTAAGTATTGAGGGATAAATTATCATGAGATATGTTTACCTCACAAATCAGAAGTGAAGTTATAAATCTTCAAATGAGAACCATTGAGTGCCGGATTGACCCACTCGGGAACTATCATCTGCCCCGGTCTACGGAGTACAGGTGTACTTCCCGGTGAGTCCGGGTACAGCACCCCGATATTTGCCCCGAACTTGATCCCGAACTTGTGATTAGCTGGCTAATCCTCGGGGTCCCATTTGAATTTGTGTTTCCAATAACATCATGTGCCTGGACCACTATGTTGTGACCTTCCCCAACGGTCTCGTATTCCCGCTCGCATTCCCGTATTCCACACCCTGTTCGAAGGTTCCGGGGCCCGCTAGCCAATTTCACAATTCCGATCTGCGTGCCATGGGGATATGGAGTTGCAACTGCAACACGATTTCATGTTGTTTCCACCAGCTGAATTGTCAACCGGCTTACCCGGCTATATCGTTGGGGCGCGTTCCCTTTCCCACGTCACGCTGCATGTCTTGTTTAATGCGAGTAGTATTTATGCAGCGATTCTAGGCATAATGCATTCATCTTACGATTAAACTGGCTCATGCACGTTATGTTCATGCTTTTCATTTTCGCCTGGTCTCATCTCAACACTTTCTACGACTCCTCATTTCTCTTTTCCACTTGTCAACTAGTACCCATTGATAAATGAAGCGCTGCGAATGTCACCATACTATTGGGACCCAGGAAATACACTCTGGGAGTATGCTGTGTAACTGCTGCATAGTCAGCTAATTGCCGGAGAAGTTGGCATACTGCGACATTGTAGAAGATAACGTATTTCACATGCGAGTGGATCACACAAGCGGGTGGATCAGCTAACGCGAAACGCGTCAATTAATTTAGACCCTTCTTCTTCAACCACCCACTATGCCACCAATACGCTCTCGATCCTCTAAAAATTCAATAGAGCAAGAGGGTAGGATTTTATTAGCTAGCCAGGCTATTAAAAATCAAGAGATCTCCTCAATTCGTCAAGCAGCGCGTCGCTTTGACGTCCTATTCTCCTCCCTCCGGAACCGCCTTACCGGCCTTAAGAATCGATCTGATTCTCGCGCTAATAACCATAAATTGACTAAAACTGAGGAGGAGTCTCTTGAAAAATAGATTCTCTCTATAGATCGACGCGGAGGGGCCCCCCGGCCTACTATAGTGTGAGAAATGGCGAATCTTCTTCTTAAAAAGCGCGGAACTACCCCGGTGATTTCGGTCGGCTAAAATTGGGTTACGAACTTTATAAAACGGCGTCCTCTCCTCTCCTCTCGATTCTCGAAACGGTATAATTACGAGCGTACTAAATACGAGGATCCGAAAATTATTAAAGAGTAGTTTAATCTAATTTAAAAAACGATCCTTTAATTTAGGATTAACCCTAATAATATTTATAACTTTAACGAGACCGGTTTCGCGATAGGATTAATAGTAACTACGAAGGTTATTATAAGAAGTGAATACTATAGTTAGCGAGTACTTTTATAATCTAGAAATCGCGAGTAGGTAATAGTAATCGAGTATATAAATACGTCTAGGTAGGCGCTTCCTGTTACGGGCCTATCCGTCACCAGTCAGCGGTGACCCACTAGGCACACCAATGGGCCATCGAGAGCCAACCAGCAAATCTGCCAAGCAGATCACGTGCAACATCCTATACTTTGGCGTTCCCAAGTGTCTGGAACAAGAAAAGCTGCGGTTATGATCAGTGAGTACGGGGGTGATCACTCTGACCAAGGGCCCACTTTCAGGGACTAACCGATACGTATGCGCCTATACGTACCGGTAACCCTCTACCACCACAGCTACCGCTTTAGGTTAAGAGTACCACGTGATCATGCAGGTAGTAGAACGGTAGACAGTCGAACAGTAGAATCTGCCAAGAAGATTCTACTAAGCTACTATCTACCTATCTACACGGGAAGAACTCTAGGATATATAAGGACACTCATTTATATATCTAGTTTAGTTCTTCGTCTTCAATTATACATTGTTACTTATGTTTACCTTTTAGACTACTGTGACTCTTTACTTAATTATAACTTGATAACACTTACGAGTAGACTAATACCCTAGTATAGATCTACTCAGCGCTCTCACTAGCATCGTTCCTCGATCTCTTAACAGGACTTAGGCTACAGTAAGGCTTTGCAGGCAATAGCTCAGTTGCGATAGGTCGTTAACGTTAGATACACGAGGAGTATTAAGGCAAGTATACCTAGAACCCATCTAACCTAACTGTGACTAGTTAGTAGTGCGTAATATATTAAAGACTGTCTCAAATCAAGTTTCGAGTCATAACCACTGATATATCTCAACTTAGAAAGAAAGTCCCGACTAAGCCGGTCTAGGACGATAACCCCGATTCCGACGCTAAGAGAGATAATAGGATTAAGATACTAAAGGAGTAGGTAAAGACTTTATTAAATAAACTTCAAGAGTAAGAAAAGTATAATACCTAGGTTGAGGACTATCTAGCGCAAATGTATACCTAAGTCACTGCTTTAGCACTAACTAGTGCTATCTAAGGGCTAGCGTTACCTAAGGCTAAATGTTTCGAAGGAAACCGAACTAAGCTTCGAGGATTCTTTACTTAGATAGATATATACTTTAACGTAAATAAAGCTAAGCTTCCGTCCGAAGCTAGTAGGGTGATTTTTGTATTAACCTACCTACGTAGATAAGTATAGAACTGGCTTAAACTATATATTTAAGACTATTATAAAAAGGCACTAGGAGATTAGTCCGCGACCACTATAGATATCTTTAGTAACTATAACAACTTCCGTTAATATCTTGAGCGAACTTTCGGAGATATTGACGTAACTCGAATAGCTAAACGTAAGCTATAGAAAATTAAATAATAAACTAGCGCGTTAGTCTATACCTCCGAATTCTAGTAAATTATATCCTATCTAGATCTACCTAATTGAGCGTATATTCTGTACTTCGAGGTAGGACTTAAACTAGATATTAAGGACAAATTAGTATAAATTGATAGGCCTGAAACCTTAGACTAACTTATCGCGATTGTAGTTAAGATTAATAATTGTATTAATAAGCGACGATACGAACGCTGAGAGATAGACTAGTAGAAAAAGGGTAAGAGTTATAGATTTAGCTGTTTTAGTAACAGGCGCTGCGATAGAGCGCCCTAAGACCCTAATCTATATGGCCTAAAGCTAATAGAATTAGACGCTACTTAGGATAAGTAAAATAAGCGTTGATAGAAGAATCTCTATTTTATGTATAGGAAACTAGGATACTATATAAGAGAATGTAAGCAGAAGAAACTATATGAGAAATAGTAATATATATAGGTGATACGCGAAGAACTGTGTATAACCTAAGAAACCGAATAGGACTACCTAAAGATAGAATCTTTAGAAGATCTCTTAGTAAGATAGAGTAACCTAAGCCTAGAAGAGATATTAGTGGGTAACCTATATATTAAAGGATTAGCCGATAAGCTGTATATTGATTACCTAGAAATCGACTAAGATACTATAGAAAGCTAGGGATAGACTTAGTACGTTCCCTAGGAGCTAGACTACTCCTTAGGATAGTCTAATAACTCCTAGGAACGAGAAGTGGGTCTCCTAGGAACGCTAGTCATAACCCTTGGAACTACTAATGATCTAAGAATAACGAATGCGTTCCTAGGAAGTGACTAAATACTCTTAGAAATACTACTAGATAGTCCTAAGAACTATTGAAATAATGAAGAGGCTGATAATAAGCCTATAGGATATCTTAAAGGAAAGATATAGCCTAGTAGACTAGACTAGTACCTTATTAACGTAATTAAGAAAGGCGACGACCTAATAGGATACCCTTGTGAAGATTCTACTTATATATATAAAGGATATGTACGATACTTGGGATATAGTAGAATAGCTAGTGTTATATATTACGACGAGATATATACTACCCACGGGTCTAGTAAGTTAGATCTTGGTATCGAACCCTAGCTACTAAAGTGGATAAAGAAGCTATAATAGAACTAAGAGTACTAAGGGGTATAGTATAATGGCCGATAGATATATAACCACTAGGGCTGTTTAATAGTATAGCTAGTAGTAACTTTACTAAGAATATATATTAAATTGTATATAATCCTACTAATAGGAAAGGCTTAGACTCTTATTGACTCGGAAGTAATAAATAATTTTATAAACCCTAGGTTCTAAGAAACCTAATAAGTCCTTACTAAACCATTATCGTATATTATTCCTGTTATAGGACTCGATAGAGAAGTCCTCTCTAATAGAGTGAGCGAGGAAACTATTATACTACTAATATCTATCTATAGATACCTAGAAATAATT